CTGAGCTCTGCTTCCACCCCATTTTATTTTGAGACAGGATTCATGGATAGTTTCTTAGAATTCCCTGATCACCATCAACATCTAGACACATGTGTGGTAGTGACACCCACTTAACTAAGCATGGAGGACTAATACCAACAGGCTCATTTTTCTTTCGACATTTTGCCAAGTGGGAATTAGCTGGTTGATATGAACCATGGGTTAGGATAATTTGTGTCATCTGTCACTATCATGTCCGTGTTCGGAGTCACCTAGATGAGACAATCCTTAAATCCATAGAAACTTGTTTTGTAGTTTTCATCAACATCCTTTTAGGGTTTATTACCATTTTGTCTAGATATGGGGTTGGCACTGTTTGTATTGAAATGGTCATCCATTCAGAATAACTGAAAAATTAGAGGGTTCCTTTGTGCAAAAGGCAGATATAGCACTAAACAAACAAACAAACAAAAACCCACAGGCAACATAAATTTTATGCAAGAATTTGGCCATTTGAGATTTTTCTTCCAGTCTGATTTCTTAGCATCGGAATCGACTTTTTTCTTTCTTTCTTTCTTTTTTATTTTTTTTTATGTCTTTTTGAGACCGGTTTCACTGTGCAGTTCAGGCTGGCCTTGAGCTCACTTTGCAGCTCAGGCTGTTTTGAACTCGCAGTGATCCTTCTGCCTCAGCCTCCCGAGTGCTGGGATTACAGGCGTGCACCACCATACCTGGCTCAGAATTGAATTTGGATGGGCTTTTTCCTTAGGAGGTCTTGATGGTGACAGATTCTGAGACCTCTGGCCGCACTCTCCGGGGCTGGAGGGCACCATGCTGCACTCGCTCACTGAGCTGTGTTTGGTGTGATGGGTACTCTTGCTGTGGGTGTTGATTTTCTGTAGCTGTGGGCTTCTGGGAGAGCCCAGGCTCTGGGTGGCCGCTTGCACCAATAGCACCTACCTGCCCTCCCAGCCAAGGAGCTTCTGCAGAGCTATTGATTTGAGGCTCAACTGGGCCCTTGTACTTGGCTTTTCAGCTGTCCCCAGGTCCTTGAGCCAGACACGTATTTTCATAGGTGTATTGGGGATGGCTTGGGAGCCTTAGAGCTTGGTCTGGCGCTGGCCCTTCTACCTTGAAATACATCTTCTAGTTTGGTCAGTGTTTTGGTCTAAATATGATTAAGAATAATGCCTTGATTTTCCTAAATCTTATAATTAAAAATAAACAAAGACAAGATGTAAGCAATAAAGGAAGTAGGTAGAATTCAGCTGACTAAAATTCAGGCACAGATGCCACCAGAAGTAGGAAAGGCAAACGTCGTTTCCTTAAAGTTCTCACTAAACCCTGAAACTCCCCCTTGTGGGAAGTGCGGCTGTTTCTTAAGTGGATGGTAAAGACTTTGTCGTTAGAGAAATTAGTGCTACGTTCTAGTGTCACTGTATATTTTCTGTTTCTCTAACAGAATACCTCGGATTGGGTAAATAATGAAGGAATTTCTCCTAGTTCCAAGGGCTGAGAACTCCAAGAACGAGGGCCTTCAAGCTGTGTCATAACATGGCAGAAGGGCAGTGAGTACGCTTGAGACACAAAAAAAATCCTTGCACCAGGGAGAAAAATCAACTGAATTCATCCTCTTGTCAAAAACCCACTTTCTCAGTAATGACCTTGACCCATTCATAATCTCCCCTGTGAAGGGCCCGCCTCTTAGCGCGGTTAAAATGGCAGTTCAGTTTCAGCGTGAATTTCCGAGAGAGAAATTCATTTTGCACCACAACAAAGGCCTCTGGTTGCGACGTCACACCGGAAGTGGATGCGGTGGTGGGTGCTAAACCTCCACCCTCAGCTGCATTTGAGACGGGTATGTTCTGTTACTGTTTGTCTGTCCCTGTACCCTTCCTCAGAGGGGGACGCGGGCTCACAGCTGTGGAGTAGCTAAGGAGGCTTGTCGCTCAGTTTACCCTTCTCTGTCTCATGTTTCTGCTCAACTCTGAGTGCTTCCCTCCACCGGTGCCTCCTGCTTCAGCAGCCTGAGTGAGCAGGGGCTGTGTGCAGGCAGCACCGAGCCCCGCTTTCCTTCCCTCTCCAGTCTCCCCAGGTCTTGCTGCTGTGGAAGAGGTGAGTGGGGAGGTGTTTGTGTGTGTCACTGCCTTCCCTTGTTGCCAGAGGTGGAGCTGAGCTCTGCTTCCCTTGAGGCCCAGAGGCAAGGAGGTGGGGTAGGACGGGGCAGGGCAGGCCTTCCTAGTCTCTTTCGACAGAAACCTGTCTGCCCAGAAAATTCTCAAGATGCTTGGCATAGCGGCGTCTTTCCTGCAAAAGAGATCTTCTTTCTCAGAGAACAAACTCTGGCAGCATTTGAAGTAGGTCATCTTTGGTGTTTTCTTCTGGCCATGGTGACACCGTATGGTAATGAGCTTATATAAGCATTGCCAGCGTGCAAGGCCACTCCTGCGGGGAGTGACATCTTAGCAGATGTCTCGCTGCTTGCTAGGGGCAGTTCAGCCTGTTTCACAGCCGGAAACTTGTGCGGATGTGAGACTGTACAGGGGTCACTGCGTACAGGTGGCCAGCTCCTGGAAAGGGCTTTTGGACAGAAGGTAAGAGTGGAAACAGCTGTTTCTCTGCCATGTCAGGCCAAGTAAAGGAACCAGGCAGTTTATTATAACCCAACCCTCGAAGAAACCTGGAGAACACCTGCTTGCCCCCTCCACCTTCCCTGCGCCTGTCTCCAAGGAATGGGTACCTTCTTTTCTGAAGCCTTCTCTCTTGCACACTCTTACCTTTTGTTGGGTCGCAGATTATCCCAAGACGTGGTGACCTGAAACAGTATTGACTTAGTTTGCATCACCTTGGGGTCCCTGGCCTCTCTGCGGCCCATTCCTGTGGCTGTGGTCCACAGGATCCTGGTCTTGGTGGGGACAGTAGAAAGCTGGACAATACCAGGTCTCTCTGGTGATGGAGGTGCTGCAAGAGGGTTTAGGTGGAAGCTGCAGGGCCTCTTTAGGCTTAGCCTTGGCAATGCTACAGCTTCACAGGAAGCAAGGCCAAGCCAGGTTCCTTGGTGGGAAAACAGGTTCTGTGTTTTCTGGGGGCAGCAGCTTTTCATGGGGACGTGGCCATGGGATGAGTCCTGGGAAGGCTCTACCCAGAGCTTGCCTTCTGGCCCCGGGATCGTAGTCCTTCGCACGTGCAAGATCCGCTCCTCTCCTGACCCAGCACAGTGACAGGCTACAGCAGGGCTGGCTGTGGAGAGGGCAGCCAGCTCTCTGACTGTGCCTTCTCTCCGTTCAGGGAGCTGTGAACTGAAGAGCCACTGTCTCAGCAGTCAGTATCAGGGCAGGAAGAGGATCTGTGATGGGTGTTTCTATTTAGAGAGGGGGAACAAGACTCGTGTGGGAAGTGGTCTCTCGCGGTCCTGCAGTGGAGTCAGGATGGGCCGCTGGGGCCGCACTGGCTTGTAGCATCACTGTTTATATAAGCTCTTTTGTTGTGTGGTGGTTTCTTGCTGCTCACGAGCCTGTGGGTTGCTGGGCAGTTCTCCTGGTCCTCCAGGCTCTCCGCAGTCTGCTGATGGCCTAGGATGACCTCGAGCACACGCTGGGGCCTCAGCCTGGTCCAGGAAGTGGCTGCTGGGTCTCACGGTGGTGCTTAGGAGGAGTGCCAAAGTCACATTCACGGAGTGTGGATGTGGAGAGGCGGGCTCAGTTATTTTTGTAACACTGTCCTCTTGAGCATTGTGAGGTTTGGGTAAATGGCTTGTTTAACGCAGTCACCTTGGCCACACTGTTGTGCTCTCCCTGGTTCTGAGCCATGGTCCAGGGATGAGTGCTGTCACTGGGGGATGCACTAATTCTCAGGCCCCTCACCAAGGAGTGGGGCAGGCAGCCTGTGGCCCAGTGGGTCTTCCAGGTGATAAGGGTGCTGCTGAAATTTGAGAGTGTGCCCTTGGGAATGAAAGCGGTGGCCACTTCTCTTCTGACTAAAGACACCAGTCCCTCACCACCCCTCAGCAAGAGCTGTTGTCCCAGCCTCCTTCAGGATGTCCTCTGAGCTAGACTGTTCTTTGTGATGTCTCCCCAGGATCCTGTTTGCGACTGTAGTGTGTCCTTGCTTATCACTCAAGGACATTTGTTGACCACCAGTGCTATGCCACTCCTGGTGTCCAGGCACACGGGTGTAGAGGTAGAAGACACGGTCCCCAAACTCCCTCAGCTTTCCCAGTGTGAAACAGGAGGAATATGGGGGGATGGTCCAGTTAGGCAGGGGAAGTGACAAAAATCATTTTAGTCCACCGCTGAGCTTGAAATGTCCTGGTAAAAAGGATGGTGGTGTGCACATGATGACTCCTGAGAGCTCCAACTCCAAAGGCAGGGCATGAGCCTGCACTGTGAACATTTCATATGTGCAGAAATTTAAAACCGTGACCCTGAAGGTGGCTCTTGCTCAGAATCAGTTGGAGTGTTTTAAAAATGTGAACTGGGTGTGCCTTCTCCCTCACCCCGCATGTCCTAGGTGATGGTGATGATCCAGGTTTGGAGAACCAGTGTTCTCCCACCCAAGCGTGGAACTGCCTGACGTTCAGGGAGAAGGATAGAGAAGGAACAGGATGCCCAGCTTGGAACCAGGGGATGTCTTGGGTTCAGGGCCTCCCTAGGTAGTGTCAGTGTGTGAAGATTCTTCTGGAGCTGGGGGTGCTGGGTGAAGAGCTGAGAGAGCAGGGCCGTTGCGGATGCCAGGGGACTGGAAAGTTACAAGAGGAGGGCCCGGGTGATGAGGCTCTCACGCAGGGCACTGCACCCTGCGTGGCTGGTGACCAGAGTCAGCAAGCTCCAGACTGCGGTGGAGGGAGGACGGTGGCGGGGGAGGATGGGCATGTGGAGGTGACTGTCCGGGAACTTCAGGGGAAGGAGTGAGTAGAGGAGGAGGGAGTGGGTGAAACTTGAGCATGCTGCCCAGGCGGAGAGCCAGGAGGGAAGGGTAGATAGGAGAAGGAGCTGGGAAGAGGGCTGCTGCTGATCCATATCCAGGAGGAGAGAAGGATGGATTCTAGAGCCCAGCTCTTAGGATTGGCCTTGAAGAAAAGGAGGGCCACCCCGCCTCATTCTGGAGGGAAGGAGGTAAGGGAAAGGATGGGAAGATGGAAACTCACTTTTATGTTTCATTAGGCTTAAGAAAGGAAATGAACCCCTGCCCCTGAAACGCTTTAGTTGTAGCTGCTTGTGTTATGCAGGACAGTGGAGATGCAGGATAAAGGCAGTGAGCAGGGGTCGGGGGGCAAGGTCCCTGCCTGGGTGCTCCGACATTCCTTGGGGACATTCTCAAAACGACCATGCCAGGGTGCTCACCTGGAGTACTTGACACATTTGAAAATAATTGCAAGAGGACGTTTTCGGGCTGCCTGCTAGCTTTCCAAACCATCCCCACTGAGGAAGTTAACTTGGACTGCGGGTGCTGGTCATGGACTCTCTTGGCAAATACCGAGGCTTGGCCTGGGTTTAAAGCATGGAATCTACGTTCAGACTCCCTGAGTATGTTTCGTGTCTAAAAGACATTGGAGACATAGTTTCATGACTTAAAAGTGTTGGCTATTGGCCAGAAAAAAAAAAAAAAAACAACAAAAAACAGTTCAGGGACATCTTTATCAATTCCCCAGTTGAAATGCAGAGTGCAGTGCTTTAAGTTGAAATGAAGATGAATAGAGTTTGATTTTTCTACACGATGGCGGTGTGTGTAGCTTTTCATTAGCTGAGCAGGTTGTGGGCTGAAGGTGTAGTCCATGTGTGATCCTGGCAGTTGGGTCACATAGGCTGCTCCTTCCGTGGTGTGCAGAGCTCCAGGTGTCACGGTCTCTGTCTCTGTGTGTCCCTTTTGTGTGCTAACTTTGTGATACATTTCTCATGGTGTATATAACATATCCAGCACATGAGCCTCAGTTGTTTGTTTTTGCTAGGATGGTCTGTGGGTTCATGAGGTTTTTTTTTCCTTGGGGTGCAATCTCAGTGGACAGCCCTTTGGTTTTATTTTGTTTTGTTTTTCTTTTTGAGACAGGGTTTCACTATATACTTCAGGGTATTCTTGAACTCACTTTGTAGCCCAGGCTGGCCTTGAACTCTCAGCGATCCTCCTGCCTCAGCCTCCTGAGTGCTGGGATTACAGGCATGCACCACCACACCTGGCTCAGTGGGGCCCTTTGGAAGGAGGTTGCCTGTGACTGTTGGCTTCTGCATTACTGTCACACACTGCTTCCACAGGGGAGCCACTGTAACACCATTTCTCCAGTTGCAAATGGGCTGCATGGTAGTCAGCAGCCCCCTGGGACATAGTTACTTGGGATCCTGAGAGGCAAGTGTGTGGTGGGCACCTGGCATGCCACAAAGCCCACGCAACTCAGTGCCACTGAAGGTGCCATGTCCTCTGTCTGTCACCCTGTGTAGATACCTTCTTCTCTTTACTTCCTTTTTAGTTCCTCATCCTTTCCGCTCTTGCTCCTTTCCTGTGATACTTAAGCGTCTTGGAAGCATGAATAGATTCTGAGACTGGCCCAGCATCCTCTCCCTCCCGCGTGCATGGGCTCTGAGGATAGATGTGTCTGTAGGGTGTGGTGGCCATGGGTCCTTTCATGCCCTGTAGGATGGTGGTGTGGCAGGGATGCCACTGGCATTTGGGGCTGGGGAAGTACTTATTCTGAGATCCACGGTGTCCCTGGCTCTGCTGTCAAAGTGTCAGCCCCCCTCCCCTGTGTTCCGACGGCCAGTGTTCCCAGGTCCCCCTGGGGATGATAGTTTCCCACATCTCTGCACCAGTGGCTGTTGGGATGGACACGTCAGTCCAGACAGCCTCACTGTGTGGACGTGGATAGCATGTGCACATTTGGAGCCTGCGGGTTGGCGCTTAAGAGCTTTTAGAAGGCGTTTTCGGGGTACAACATCTATGTGATGAGAGAAAATCTTATTCTCAGGCTACTTATTCTCGGGGCTGGGTTAGGTTGTTCAGATGAAGGCACTAGGTGTAAACGAAAACGCATGGAACTATTTTTATTAGACTTGAAAACATAGTCTGTTAGAGGTCGGGTATACTTTCTGACCCTGTTAGCTAGTTAAGCTGTTTTTGTAAATACCCATCTAAATTTAGGAAATTTGGGTGACAGGGTATGGAAAAAGTAGAAATTCCGTTTAGAGAAGAGTGGATTTTTTCCTTTCCGTTGTCTTCCCCTCCCACCACCCTGGTTTTTCTTTGGACTGGTGGAGATTAAACCCTTGCACGCTAGGCAAGAGCCCTGCTGCCCCACAACCTGTTGCTGCATCCCTGGGCCAACAGGCTGTTCAGTAAGTCCATATAAACATGTATATTTTTATTTACTTTCGTTATATAAAAGTTGGAGTTTTTGCCATTTTTTTTCTTTTCTGCTTTAACTGAGTAATTGTTCTTATCACACACTTGCTGCATTTGATAGTCTAGGGAGACCTGGGACCCTTCGGCCCTGGAGAGCTGTGGTCACAGCCCGACCCTTGACGCAGAAAACTGCCCAGCCCCCGAAGGGGCTGTGGGCCACACGGTGAGAAACAAGACGAAGAGACAGTCACAGCAGTTTTCCTTCTTCCCTTCTCTCCCGCAGAACCCCAAGGCAGACCCAGAGGAGCTTTTCACAAAACTAGAGAAGATTGGAAAGGGCTCTTTTGGCGAGGTGTTCAAAGGCATTGACAATCGGACTCAGAAGGTGGTTGCCATAAAAATCATTGATCTGGAAGAAGCTGAAGATGAGATAGAGGACATTCAGCAAGAAATCACAGTGCTGAGTCAGTGTGACAGTCCGTACGTAACCAAGTATTATGGATCCTATCTAAAGGTAAGGCTTAAAAATAACGCCACTTTGCATTATGCAGCGCTCAGCTGAGTGACTGGCCGGGTTGTGAAGGACTCCAGCAGCACAGCAGGTTTTCAGAGGAAGGGAAGATGTTTTGACCTTTCGGATCAAAAGAACCTGGCTTTGATCACTTTATCATCTTAAATGTCAGCTGTAGAAGTATATTTTTGGTAAAAGTGTTTGATGTACACATTCTCTTTCAAAAAAGAAAGTATTTTTGAGTGGGATTTTGGCATCAACACTATACCTTATTACGTTATTATAACAATAACCATTAATCACCTCATTTTAAGATGGCATGTGAGTAGTGATAAAAACTCATGCCTACCTAAGAGAAAGAATCTCTTGATATTTTCAGTCATCACCAGAAGTGTAATTTAATACACTATTTTAAAAACTCCTATTGGAATCAATAATGGTGATTAGTTAGCTAGTTGGTCTATACTTTTAGGAATGCTAGGTGAGTAAATAATTAAAGTAGGAGTTTTAATAATAGAACATTAAATTTGTCCTTGGCTTTTAACTGGTTCTTTACCTGGGAAAGAATAATAGTAAAATTTTTTCTGATCCTGTGTGGAACCATTTCTTCATTTTTGATGTTTCAGCGTCCTCCTGTTCTATCAGTCAGAAGGTCCGTGACTGTCCTTGGGTTCCGGGTTTCCAGACATGTGTCCATTTCACTGAGCTTGCAGATGTAGTATGTTGAACCACCAGGGGTACATGTGTGACTGTCCCAGAGGGTGACTTGTACAGGGTGGGCCTGTCTTGTGACGCCCAATGAGACAGTCACGCATGTACCACAGGTGGGTCAGAGCCACCTGGCAGCGAGCCATGAATTATGGTCCTGTCATGAACGTGTTAAATTCCTGAGTTACCTTCTAAATAAACCTACTTCTATGTGAAAAGAGAGTGTAGGTTTTGGTTTTGTGGGAATATGATAATAAAGCAGAAGTCAAAGTTTGAAAATTTTGATAGCCACTGATTTACCAAAATTTAAAACAAGTCAAAATTGAGTGGTAATTCTGTTCCTTTTTTCATTGTGTAAAAGTTGGCAGTATGTCTTAGGTTAAATGTAGCATTTTGCAATGGAAACAGTAAGTTTCGGAGTCAGGTATCATTGGAGTTGAATCTTTCTATCATTTACCTGTGTTGCCTGAATTTTTAAAAAACTTTCTCGTTTCCTTATGTGTAAAACAGAAAATTACAGTATTTTCTCATTGTCACAAGATTGGGGTGTGGCTCAGTGTAGAATGCTTGCTTTGAGCATGCGGGGTCCTGCATTTCATCTCCAGCAGTGCAAAACAGAGACACAACAAAAACTAAACTTGTTGCAAAATTTAAATAGGAATTAAGAATGTGAAAGTACCTGCATTTGGTAGCTTCTTAATGACCGTTAATTTCCTTCCCTAATTAAATTTATTCATACCTCACCTATTCAGTTACCTTGCAGTGAAGGTAATTTGCAGTAAAAGTATCCAGTGAGGTCAAACCAAGAAAACCAGGACCAAAGAAGCTGGAGAAAGATTGACAATAAGATGTATTGCTGTGATGGTGCATCTGGTTGTGTCCTGACAAGGCAAAGGGAAAATGGGATAAGTTTTATTATTTTCTTGATCCATGAGAACACATGCCCCTTCCCTAAGGGAATGCCAGGGTATCTAAATGTTAAGTTTCTAAGACAAACTGCTAAAGAAAAAAACAGCCTCCACTTGGACTCTGCCCCTGGTACTTTTCAACATTCTCTGCAAAATGCCCGGAGTAGTGGTGATGGAGCGCATTCTGAGTTGGAGGTCACGTACTTTACTGTACTGTGTGGAAGATCCTCACCATACAAATAGCTTTGAGGATTTATAACAACTAACTGGGGAGACTAAGGATCATTGGTTCAAAGTGCCATAGTTAGCCTCAGCCCTGCAGCGGAACGCCCCTGCATGCCGTCTGCTGACCAAGCAGGTGTGACTCTGACTGTATGTATCTAGGGATCTCATCCAATATGTCCTGGCCTGAGTCACTAAGTCTAATACATTGGATTCTAAATCAACCTGATGTTCATCTAGGGTTTCCTAGTATATTTTGTTTAGTTACCATGATGCCAGCTAATGTAATAAATGCCCTAAATTTACAGTGACTGAGGCATAACAGAAGTTTCTCTCTTGCTCGTGGGTTGCCCTGATCTGAGGGTGTTTTTCTGTCATACACTGTTTCAGGAACCCACGTTCCTCTGTATTGTTTTCTTACACACGTGGCTGTGCTCGCCTGCTTAAGTGAGTGGATTGAGGGATACATGGAGGCTCCTGTGGGAAAATTTGAGGGGCTCAGTCCTAGGCAAAGAGTGCTTTACTTCTGCCTGTGTGCCCTGGCCAGGACGGGGCCCATGGCCATACCTGACTCATGAAACTGGGAGTGCCATCAAATTTTGTGCTGAACAGGAGAGGAAATGGGCTCGGTGTACATCTCCAAGTCTTTCCCAGAATCCACCAACTCTGAAGGGTGTGGAATAACCCATGGGATAGTAATTGATCAGATACAAAGTTTTAGTAATTTTGTCTAAAATTTTGAATATATTTTACCAGGCAGATTGTCCCTTAGAAAATGTGACTTTCACAAGAATGTGAGGAATAGCATTGTCCCCATTGTGAAAAGCTGCCCTTGATTTCGGAAATCATGTAAAAGTTAATTCTGTCTTACTTGGCTAAAAATGTGTGAACAGTGTGAATGGTGAAACAGTATTGGCTGTTACGGTCAGGCAGGATTGGAATCCAGAGCTGTAATTCTGCCTGCCTGTTCTTGCACAGTAGAATTCCAAGCAGTCCCTGGCCTCACAAGAGGACAGTGGTGAGCCAGAGACTGCTCCTCTGTCATCGTGGTCGGCTTAGCAGGTCTGTGTTAGTGTAGTCTTCAGTCAGGTGAGACACAGAGAATTGGTTGCTCAGACAAGTGAGTCTGACACACAGTTGCAAACGCTTTGTGGTGTATGTGATTTTTATTGCCCTTTTAAAGCCCTTGCTGGTAGCATTCAAAGCTAATGTTCTTCACTCTTTAAGAAGTGACTGGAAAGAGGGTCTTAGAATTTCACACTGTGAAGGGCCAGGGAGATAGCTCAGTGACACAAGCGCCTGCCTGGCAAGCACAAGGTCCTGAGTTCAATTTCTGGTACAAAAAACAAAAACAAAAAAAAGGCTGGGCGTGGTGGCACACGCCTGTAATCCCAACACTCGGGAGGCTGAGGCAGGAGGATTGTTGCGAGTTTGAGACCAGCCTGGGCTACAAAGTGAGCTCAAGGCCAACCTGAATTGCATAGTGAGACCCTGTCTCAAAAAGCCAAAAAAGAAAAAAAAAAAAAAAAGAATTTTACCCTGTGTTACGGGGCTTTTACATAGCAGAATCAGGCAAAGGAGAGATTGCCAAAAGCTGGTTTCTTTGTTGGTGGATTAACAGTGAAAGGTTTTGTAACTGTTTTTATTTTACTCATCTAATCTAGAAAAAGAGATTAAAAATAACGGGGAAAGGATGTAAAAGACTGGTTTTTGTGAAGGACCAGGAGAACAATGTTAATTTTGATTATATAGCTATGATCAATTCACAGAATTGCTTTGAAGTGTATTTTCTCCTTAAAGTTAAAAAACTAAGATGAGGTGACAATTTAGAGGAGAGAGGAACAATGCAACATTGAGAATTTTTGTTTAAATTAATGAATGCAAGGCCTGGAAGTATCTTAAAGATTATCACATACCGTTAAACTTCATTAACTGTGGTTTAAGTGTTTAATTTTGGGGAAATGAAACCAGCCAAAATAATGAGAAGCCTGCATCTCCCAGCCACTGGAGTTTTCTCCCACAAAAATAGCATCCACAAGGTCAGACTGAAACTGTGTGTAGAGGGAGGGATACAGGACGAGCAGGAGAAGAGTAGATGTTTTGGGCTTTGCACTAGGTTGGCTGCGGAGACCTAAGATGCTAACGGTGCAGTGTGGTTCGTGGTTCATGGCGTGTTTCCTGCCCGTTGTCCTCCATTGGCCCATGATATCTTCAGCAGTGGGATCTTTTGGTGTTTTGTTGGGGGAGATTCCAGCCTGTCAGAACCTCTGCCTTGAGATTCAGTCAGGATTCGGTCAAATCCTGAGGGTCACAGCTGGAATTTGAGTCTTGGATGCTAGTGTAGGGGCCCCACTGTCAGGACCAACTTCCTTAGTGATAAAATGCAGGTGCACGGGCTGATGAAAAAATAAGACGTGTTCATTCCTTATTACAGTAAAAGACACACTCATTAATCTTCCTCAAAATGCTCTCCATCATCTTGAACACATTTATCCCATTGTTCTTGCCACTTTTCTAAAACAATTTTGGAAGTCATTTTTAGTGAGTGTCTTTATAAGGTGTGATGAAGAATACAGTGAATGCTGCTGCTGAGTGCCGTCCAGTGGAAAGGCAGGCTTGTAAAATATTACAGGGTGTCCTCACCCACCTCATTCGCCAGCACTGTAGGACTCCTGGCTCTTTCGCAGAGTAAAAAGGATAAATGTTCTGAATCAGTTCAGGACAGGAGGCAGCCACAACAGTGTAACTTCAAGATACTTGTTAAAGAAGACTTCTAGAACTGCTCCACAAAGTGACAAAAATGGTGGAGTAAGTGTTTCGTGTGAGGGAAGGTGGATAGATGGCAATGTGTCTTATATTGTAATACGTTTAAAAAATTTAAACATTCACTGTAGTTTGTGATCATACCTCATAAATATAGTGATTTTTTTTTTTTTTTTTTGGTCTTTTTTTTTTTTTTCCTCCCCCGTGGTCTTTTTGAAACCAGGTTTTACTATGCACTTCAAGCTGGCCTCGAACTCACTTTGTAGCCCAGGCTGGCCTCGAACACAGCGATCCTCCTGCCTCAGGTTCCTGAATGCTGGGGTTAAAGGTGTGAGCCGCCACACCTGGCTCAAATACAGTAATTTTTATGAGGTTACTACAGAATTTTGGATTATGTATGTA